CACGTCTGGTTGGAAATATTAGTTGACAAATGGAGGAGTGGATGTCAGTGGCGTTTGTGTTCTGAGTTTCTTTATCCCTCCCCATCGTCTTTCCCTCTCCAACCACCGTCTGTGTCTTGAAGCATAATTTATTACGAGGCTCTATGATACCACTTGCTTTTTTTAAATTCTATAATCTGAGTATCTCGCTTTTTCGTAAATCTCTGTTTGTGTACGACATATTTGTTGTAATGTGTTCCTCGCTATCAGCTAATGTGTTATGATTATGATGACTAGGATTGATCAGGACTGTTAGTGGATTTCGAGTGCTGGTACTACGAGAATGACTTGCACTTATGGGTGTTGTTTAATGTTATTTTAATTCATCTGACGCATGCCTCCAAGAAAAACTCTTCTGAGTAAGACAATATTTTTAGAAGATGGACAATTGCTTCACTCATAGTTACATCTGCTTGGACACTGGGTGCGCAATTTAGAGTAGTTCGACGTGCCAGGTAGTCACGAACTCACTGCAACCGTTGAAATCGCGACAGCTACTAGCAAAGTAATCCGACACATGCTGTGACTGTTAATAAGTGTGAAACATGTGTAAGCGACTGCCTCTACTGAATGACTGGCTATTTGTTTGTCACCGGCCTCGCCACTTTCCTCGATACTATTTTTTGGTGCAGTGTGGAAGTGTCCTCAGATTAGCGTTTGTTGTCTGCAGCTAGAAGAAACCGTAGTGCGCTTTGGAAATATTAACCTACTGCCACTGTCTCACGATGACCGGCTGATGATACGGTTAATGCACTTAAGAAATTGTTCTCGACTTCTAGTCAGGCCGATGAGCAACATTTTCCTGAATATGGAAACCCCGCCTCTGCCAACATGACACTTGCGTGTCATCCCTTATCCTTGGTTATCGCCGTTTGCACACTCGGCACCTTATGTTTTCATTATCGCTTGCGATAAATTTGTGTGTTAGTTCGCGTTTTTTGCCGCACCTTATCTCCTTTCTACTTTATCGATGATCTAAGTCATCTTGGGATCGACACATGAACCTAGCCAGTATACACAATATTACCATTTATAAAGCCCCTACGCAAGACCACGAAGTCTGATCATACAGTGTTGGCCAAATTAGTATAAATTCACTAAATTCAGCAAACTTTATATTTCGCATTTCTCGTAAAAATGAATTGATTTTGCTGTAATCTGTTTATTTTTTTCACGAAAAACATATATTACTTAGAAATTCATCAAGATTAGTATTTTTAAAATGATCCTTTGGTAATTTTCAAAGAGTTAACACGCAAAGGCATGGGGTTAATGCGTTTTTGCTATGTTCAGTCATGCTCTCATTGCGTACCCAGTTCGCTACAATTTCTTCATTGAGCTGTTGCTTATTTGTAATAATATTTCTATTCATCTCTAACTTTAGTTTTACCCATAAGTTCTTTATTGAGTTTATGTCCAGGGCTATTTCCAGATCATGACAACACTTCGATACCACAACCCTCAAGAAAGTGGGCTACTTCACGCCCCTTGTGACATGGATCACTGTGATGCAGCAAAATAGAGTTTCCTGCCCCCGTAAATCCTTTTCATCTGCCCATTCACACAACTGAGGGAACAGACGGTATTCTAGTGGGGTTTTGTACTGCTGGTGTTTCATATTCCCCGGAACGGTGTAGAGTTGACCGGTTCCAAAGACGCTTATAACGCTCCATATCATGACCTGAGTGGGACGCTTTACTCGTTGAGAGATACAGTCTTCTCTCATCTGTTCTCCATGTAATCGCCGAAGATATTGAGCTTGCTGGCCAGAGTACCGGACGATACCCCATCGTTGAAAACTACCTAAAATAACACACAGAGAGGTTGTATGAAATAGTCAAGCAGTGGGGGCACAATTTTTCTCAAAATTCCTCATAAAAATAAAGCTTTCGCTTCTTACCCGCTCCCAATCATCTTCTGACCGTATTTCAAGCTGTTTGGCCCATTCCTGTCGTTTTTCTCCCTTTTGATTGGTCATATCTTACCTCTTGCGAAGTCTGCAAGCTCGAACTCCGGAATCCAGAAGCCGTCTTCTTACAGTTCTCGAATTTAATGCCACACCATGCTGTTCTACTATCCTTTACAGCTGTCTGCTAGATGCTTTGCGATTCCCTCGACATTCCCTAAGCAGTAGTGCGTCGTTTCGAGCTGTCGTTGCTCTTCTGCGACCTCAGTTACCAGAAGGTTTTGGGGACAGGGGTTAGTTCTTTTCAATTTCTTTCGAATTTGGCATACAAACGCTTGGTTAACACCAACCTTGTTAGCAATCTCTGACCATTTCACACCTACTTTCAACAAAATTTCAATTTTTACTCGCGTTCCTGGGGTTAGGTCACGTAATTTGCTTATTAATATGCCAATACAATCTGGCAACTGTCGGTCATTAAGGTTGTGTTGTTACTTTAGTTGATACCTTGAAAAATAAAAATAAGTTTAATTACATAAAGTTATCACTTAACCCCAAAGCAGACGAATATCATCCAGAAATGTGGACTGCAGTTGGAACGTACAACTTAAGATGTGCAATGCTAGTTGCGTCGAGACCGTACTGGAGCTATAACTAGCTCTGTTATGGCTCATCTTGTTGATAGTGCGCATGAGGTTGGCCCAATCCGTGCATTTGGGATACTATACAGGATCCCTCAACTCCGGTCGAAAGGTCTGCGCCTCCGCACCCTTGCTGCTGCTGAGGCGATCAGCATTCGGTTATAACAACCGCTTTCGTGTGCACAAAAGAAGCTGCTCGATGCTGTTAAGCTACCTTGGCTAGACAGAACGGATCCTTCTGAGGACAACTGTAATCGTGCAGCTACACCTTTGTCCTAGTTTGTCTTTTCTTGCTGGCTCATGCCCTTGGCCGGCACCTGATCGCATCTCATTTGAACTGATCGAATCCACTTTTACGCACATTGCTATTTCACCTATATGATTGTATTGGTCCGAAAATGAATCATCGAAAACAATTGTTTATCTTCGTCGGCCTTCTCTTTTTGATAATGAAATGGGAATTTTCCAGTTACTGAAATTAAGCCAAAAATGTAACCTTTGGTTTACATAACTACTGTACATGTAACATCAACTAATTTGTCATCCGCATCTAAAATATTAAATCTTAAGACAACTTATATAATACAGATTATTATTTACATTTTTGTCAACTATTTTTGTCATTGGTTACCATGATATTGCGAATATTAAAAATACTAACCCTGACAAACAAATGAATGACCTAATGAGAATTAACGTAGCCGAACTCTAATGAATTTCTAATAATCTGGCCAACACTGTACCAACCAGGTGGTGTCGAGACGTAGCTGCTTTCGATCAACTGTGGCAATGGTATCAACTTGACCCGGTGTTTCAGTCAATTATGTTCTTACCCTTATCCCACATCCTCGACTGATTGCTCTGAAGTTTCACCAATCAGGCGTTGTGCTATCATGTGATGCCCCCTGAGGAGTGCAGTCAACGAGTATCCGAAGGATCTAGTCTAGCCAACATGAACTGTTAGATTCTAACGGACACTCTGTTGAGGTGCCACTGAGTTTGTAGCCAAATTTCAGCTACCGAGCCTCAGTATTGATCACCAGACAATCCCACCAGATATAAACAATACCATGCAATCACGGATGGTCGTGGGCGACCAGTCTCTTTATCCTCAGTGCGAAGTGGCTAAATCTCTGATTTCTCTGGTGACATCAGCTTGGTCGTAGCGTTATACACTCTACCTTCGGCTGAGAGGCTGTTGTAACTCCACCTTCGTTGATGTTTGAAGTTTCGGAAAACCACCGTCTTTGATTTTGCATGATGTCACCTCCTCGGGGATATGGTCATTAAGAGTGGTACAGCTGCCAAGACAAGTGAACCAACTGACTCCTCGTGTGTCTGTTTGGTGAGTTATCTAACATGTGGTGTGTCCGGCAACTTTTGCAGCATTATCTTGCACTTTAAGGTCGCGAAGCACACTGGGTCGTGTATCGCTACGCATCATCCTATTCAAGGGGCGCTAGCAAATCCACTGGGCTTGACCCTTTTATTGCTATATCTCCCGCATACTCCAGACTTATCAGTTGGTCACCTGGTTTATCTACTTCGTTTGATCTTATGTGGAACTATCATCCATTGATCATCATTTAAGCAGCTTTCTACTTATCAAATGATTACATATCACATCCATACCGAGTTGATTAACTGTCCTCTCCGCCATCTGTCCATGGATTGCGGAACTCTTTTAGTGTGGTGGGGAACGTCACCGCAGAGCTTCATTCACGGAAGGCAACACCTTTCCCACGTCAGTGTTGTGAAGAGCAACATCGAAGCACTTCCATTTCGAATATGGTCTTTGTGATCGGAGTGACGGAACTCAACTTCAAAGTGAACCGAAATCTCAATAAAGATTACGATTCGCAATCCAACCAGACGGCGGGTACTCCAAATGCAAATTTTATTTCACTTTCCAATCTGTTGTATACCAAACATCCAATCTCATCTACTCCAGTTGCTTTTTGCTTCTTTCGATGCAGAATCCAGCTGCCTACGATAGGAGCTAGTGAATAAAAACAAGTGGATGTTATGTTGTCGGTCTGTATTTCTAGGCGGTCACTCCTTTCTACGCTCTAATGCCATTGTGTGTTTCGTTGTCACCTAAGTTTTAGGAAAAAAAGATTATTCCACCGGGAACTAGCTTCATGTGCAACTGTATCCTGCTTCCATTTAGCGTGCAGTTTTATTTAATCACTAGGGGACAGCGCTGTGTTCACTTTGGTGCTTTGGGGGCACTCACCTTCCTGACTTGAAAGATTCGTTTTTTGAGCGGCCCATAAACTTACTGTGACTTACTTCGTTTTCCAATTTGGTTTTCCATCCGGTGTTTTTAATCTACGATTAAGTACATTACATTTTAAAACCGAAATACCTTTGAAATATTCTTCCCCAAACACTGCTTTTTTTCTAATCTGCAGTTAGATTTCACACATGAAAAGTTGAGAACCATGGAGGCTAATGTATCTGGCTACAAGCAAGAGATCACGGTGCTACGTGAAATGAATGCGCGATACGCTACCTCCGCTGCTTCAAGCGAGGCCGAATTGACCAGACTCCGTGAAGAATTGCTTCGTACGTCGGACAAGTTGATGCAAGTCGAGGTGGATTCACGTCATTCAACTCGATTATTGGAGCTATCACGGGCGAACGAGTCGCGGTGGCGTCAAGAAGTCGAATCCCTACGACGTCAAGAACAGATGCACACCCAACTCATGCATCAGCTTGACGCTATTCAGGTAGGTTATAGTTTTAGCCTCTACTGTTCCGCATGTCGGTCGTATCGATTAGTTTCACTTTACCACTCCCTCGTGTTCTCCAGGGCAATTTGGAGCAACGCGAATCATTGGATCGCACATCGATGGAGAAGCGCATTGCTCAGCTGGAAACGCAGCTTGCTGCCTCTCAATCGGCATTTACCGAGGCATCTCAGGCCTCGAAACAGATGAAGGAAACTATGGATCATGAGTTAGAAGTTGCCAGACAGAATTTAGCTTCTGAAGAAGAAGAGATTGCCCGATTACGAACAGAACTTGCGGTGTCTCGCCAAGAATTGGAAGTTTTACGTCCCAAAAGAGGTGTGTACTTCTGACACCGAGTCTGTTCGTTCGCATGTTAGTTATGATACATCCGCAAGTTTTTTCCTTTCCTGTATTTTCTCGGTGTTTAATGTCTCTTCTTTCGTAATTTCACAATACCTCTGCAACTTGCCTTTCAGATGTTACCATTTCGAGCCAGGATGGAAAGGATGACATAGATATTTCCGACCACGTGAGGGAATCTACCTCCAGGCTCATTGAACTCCAACACGAAGTCGAAAGTCTCAAAGTACGGTTGGACATTTCCCGCCAACAGTCCGATACTATGCGACAACTCGCCGAGACCGCTGAGCGACGCATGAATGACGCAGAGGACGAACACAAGCAGATGGAAGATAGGTTGACGGATGAGTTAACCGAGACAAAGCAGCGTACGTGGCTGATTCCTACTGCCTTTCAAGTTGACGTGTCTTTGTATCGGAAGCGCTCCGTCGAGTGCATTGGTTCAGATGCCGCTCAATTTTTCGCTACGTTAACAACCACCTAGTATAGTTCATTTATGTCAACAACGTGTTTGCACTCTTGAGTCAAATATGTTTATCTTGTTTATCCGTCTGTTTCCTTCACTGTTGACGGATAGGTAGTTCTGGCGTCGGATTGTTGGGGTATCTCTGGAGTTCACAACATCTGAACTTCATGTGTTGTTCACATCGTCGCTTTAGTTGTCTGAAGCCCATGAAATGCGGCATTGTCCTGATGTCGGCACGAGTAACGAGATCTGGTTGGTGGCATACTGACCAGACCCGTTGGATTTGGAGTCCATTGCTTCCTAGCATCTGGAGCAATTGGTCTGAAGGCCGTCTGACCTACCGAACGAACGAAGCATGCAATCGCACATATTTCTCAAGGGTTATGCGAATGTTATCTGAAAGTGCTTCAGCAGCATCTAGAGGAATGACATCAACGAGACCTTGGCGGTTGGACCCGATGTGTGCGGTGTGATTTCGACTCATAATGGCCGACTTCTGCTCAGGATGAAAGCGATTCCATCTGTATTTGCGTCTCATGTCCTGGGCTTTTTGAATCACCTATACCTGTGGTTGGATAAAATAAGTTGGCTACTTGTGTTAGTGACTCGGTTCATCTACATCTTTTTCGTGTTGGAGAGCCGTGTTCTGGTTGTGAACGTCATCGAAGGCCGAAGGTTATGAACGTGTAATGATTTCTTGTTTACACATCGGTTACGGCCGCGGGGTGTTTTGCCAACACCGCACAGAGCAGACGGACAGAATGGGAGGGATATTCAACCAGTTGAGCGACTGGGAGCCCTTCGGCTTTTCATTTAAAACGGAGCTTGAAAACGATTGCTTCCTCTGGTGTACTGTGATCCCAGATGCTTAGTCAGAACCAGAGTCTTTGTTTCTTACAAATCGGACCCTATGCTATCGTTTCACTCACCTCCCCCAGAATTCTGGTAATTGACAATTGTTCCACCTCGTGAACATTTGAATAAGCGCGGTGAACCAGACAATGGCGGGCATTCTAAAATTTTAAATTGGTCTACCACGGTTTTTCGCTTAACAATGAAGGATATGGGCGATTTTGTGCCGTTAATCACCATTGTGTATCCCATCAAACTCTATGTTCGAAGATACGGAGAGGCTTTGCCCTACTGCTCACTAATGGTGCACTACAAACTGTGATATCTTCGTCATCCTGATAGCAGTCAAACGGAAGACTATTTTCATCACTTTTTAATGTATTCTGCAGTTAAAGCTCTACGTCTCACAGAGGTCTTCCTTATAACCTGGTTGGAGAGTCATTTTGACGTATACTTTGTGTGATTGGATTGCGACGCGCAATCGTGATTCGTATTGAAGTTAACCTCCGTCCATTCGATCACTAAGACCATAGCTGAGAAAGCAAATGGAAATTGGGTGTTGCCCGCCGCAAAGCAGTACACTCCCGTGCGACATCCAATTTCCCATGCTTTTTCGTACCCAGTTTTTCACCTTGGCGAACTTCGCTGAGAGTTCATTTGCAGTTTAGTTTTGATTCTATTGCTTCCTCACCATCTATTATCAACACTTTCTGCATCATTACGCCATTTACTGTTGAACGGTTGGATTACTGTCTGTGAACTGCTGCTTAAATCGGCGAGCACGAAGTGCCTACGGCTAAAGTTCATGTGCTGTGATCGTCACACGTTCCGTGTTTTTGTCACCAGGTTGTGAATTCTTGGACGCTCAACTGGATCTGGAGAAGACCGAACGTCAGAATTTGGTGAATGAGAATATTCGCCTCACAGAAGAAGCCGTTCAGTTGGTGAGTTCACTTCATTTTTCATTTGTACCTTCCTTCAACACTCTTCTCTGTCATTCGATCATTTTTATTCATCGATCCGCTAAATGGGATGCGCAATTCTGATTTTCGACTAAAGTCTTGGCTTTCAGTGATCCTCCGTGCACCCACCCAATTCATTTTAAATCCTTACCAATTCATCTGACTCAGTTCTCATGTAGCCCTGTGATATGCCATAATTACCTGCGGTGTTTTGGCCTTTTCCATCAGTTGGCTTAACGTTTGCATTTCTTCTGGGTTACCCAATTTGTGCACATTGCGTTCACATCTCATGTACAGATTTCTAGCAATACAGCTGCGGTTATATTGAAATCAATCCATATGCTGGTTCTGCAGCTCACTGCTCGTGGGTATCGCGCAGGGTAGACGTTACCGTAAGTTGCACACTTCTCCCTTGTACCACTGTGAATTCTGCAGACCCACTCGATCACCAACAACTTGAAATACAAATCGTTCGTATTATTCATTTGAGCTTGTTTCTCTTGCTGGATGCATGGCTCCCAGCAAAAGCACGCTTACTTCGTATTTGTCCGCTTCCTGCTTATCTGATCTGCTCAGTCATTGTCCATCGCCCGTTGTTTCATATTTCTATCCTTATTGCAGAAAGCGGAACTTCGGCGGGAGGTCAGCAGTCTACAAGCGCAGCTAGAGGATGCCAATTCGCGTTGTGCGTCCGCTTTGGAGTTGGAAGCGGGAGCGAAGTCGGCCATTGAGATGCATGGGCGTGCCGCACAAGAGGCGCGCACTAAGTATGAAAGGGAACTAACGTTGCACGCGGAAGATGTGGAGGTATGGTGGAAGTTGCCGGTCTTCCCACAAACTTTCCTTGACTATCATATCGTCCGCATCCTCTTGGTCACCGTGATTGTCACTCAGGTTGCACTAACCACATCAATTATTTTCGGGCGCAAGATTCTGTTTGTCTATTTTCTAGCCAGGGAAATACAATGAGGTTTTTTTTCAAACTTTGCAGTCAACTGTACTTTTAATAGTTCATTCCTTCTCTTTGACTCTCTTCATCTTCCTTGCTTAGGCCTTATCTGAAGCCCGCCAACAGGCCGAATCCATCAAAGCACAACTGGGAGACCTCCAGCGTCAGCTCACTTTGGCCGAAACGCGCTCCGATACCGTGGCAAAAGAGCTCGACTCTATGAGCACTTCATGGGAAACCGAACGCTCGGAGCTGCAGGAGAAGCTAAAACAAGCCGACAAGGAGCGGGACTTGATGGAGGAGCAAATTGTCAAGGTATCTTGACGAAAGTGTACTATGATTGTTCATGGATTTTTCATATTTTCACTTCCCCATCTTAGTGCAATCGGACATATTGATGTCATGTTTTTCCACTGTTGATTTTGTCAGTTTCCGCGAGTCTGTGAAACCGTCATTCTAGTAGAATTTTTAATGCCGGGATCGCAAAATTCGGTCATTCAAGGAGGGGCATTTTATTCGGTTAAGGCAGATCACCTAAGATGGCGATACGTTTGATCAGCGGATCTTTCTGACAAATATTTTTGGCCTGCTTCCATTGATAACGGTGTTATTGGGCCAATCAGATTTTTCTGTAATCTCATTTAAACGAACCACGAGGAAGCTCACTGCATGGTGGTCGAACATCAATCAATCATCGGAGCCCCACAAATAGAACTGTGTCTGGCATATCCAATGACCGAGTTCATTAGGCTTGCACCTCTTTCGCTGTCGGGACCGCTCCTTCCATCCATCTGTTCTGTCCATGCGAATCCCCCAGTTCTATCTGGACTTTAGTTCTGCGTGCTCGTGCAATTAATTTACTTGTCCGTCACTAATTTACAAATTCAAGCCATCTACGTTGACGTGCTCATTCATGGATCCGGTTGTCTCCGGTTTGACCGCGAACGCCTCGAAAGTTAGGATTGAAAATGTAGCCACGAAGAAGAGACGAAGGAGTAAGGTGAGCTACACCATTTACATATACATTCTGCTTTTGGGATCTCTTCGAAGGCGATGTTCATAATGAATTCGTTCATGAACATTATCGGGCTGGTTGCGAGCGAGCCTAGTTGCTTGGTTCACTGAAATGAGCGGACGGCGATTACCCGCATAAAGTTTTAAACTGACGCGCAGCGCTGCATGCTTCGGCATGTGCTTTGTACCTTCAGTATGTAAGGTACTCTTGCAAGACTGAATCCATACACCACTGGCTCTAGCTATTACAAAACAACCGCTAGAGGTGTGGATGAGATCACTTACCTTGTTAGCTGTGTCCTTTCCGGTGGTCACATCATTAAGTAGTTACTTCCCGCTTCAGCAGGGTCCATTTGGCTTTCCAATAACTCAACCATCTATGGAGACGGCGGAACACCAGTCTGTCAGTGAAAGGTAGGATGTATAACGCTAAGACCGGTATGGATGTATGGATCAGAGACCTGGTCAGTTCACAGTGAACATATTAAACAGTTGGCCGTGTTTAACCACCGGTGCTTGCAGAGTATTGATCACATCCGGTGGAAACATCAGGTGAGCAATGCTTAGATCGATCAGTTGATTTCTGGCAAAAAGCCTTCTACTGCCTCACTCAGGTGTTTTCTGAATCTTAATCACTTGCGTTGGCTAGGACATGTCCTCTGTATGCCAGCTGATCGACTTCCTCGAATTGCATTGTGCGCCCTGGCTGCACCAGGTTGGGTGCAACTGCGAGGTGATCAATCGATGGCGTGGCATAGAAGCATGCAGAAACTGACTGATAGACTTGGCCATACCAATGCTTACTGTCTTCGTGGGTGGGCGCCGCGGGATGGTCCACACCAATGGTTTGAGACCCTATGAGACATGGCATAGTCACGCAGTCATTAGCGTTCCTGAATTTTTACATCTAGCTGTTTTTCTTCATTCCATCCCGTTAAGTTTCTCGCTTTTCTGGCTTGGTTTAATTTCCTTTCTATTCCATGGGTATATAATCTCATTTTCCCTTACTTATTGTTATTCGTGCGCTGTGAGTCGTGGGAACTGGATCCACCGCACTTTGTTGCCCGAATCATAGTTGTTTTACTGAACTGAGCAGGAGGAATTCAAGTATCACTTATCTGGGTTATTACCGCCTCCCGCTTTGCTTTATTGTTCACTTGTAAAGTTTGTGGTTTTTGAGCATTTTTTTCTTATCTGTTCAAAACTAAATGATACCAAATGAGCTTGTCGCTGCTGTGTCTGTAACGAATTTACAGGATTCCTGTCCGAATTTTCGTTGCGCTCGCAGATAACTCCTCGGTCTAATTCATTAACACAAATACCCAAGGGATCCAATGGGCTTCGTTCTTTCATGAACATGTATGTCATTCAAACTTTATTCTAACCGCACTTCTCATTATGTATTTGCCTTCATGTTTTTATACTAGCTCACTCAACAAATAGTTGCTCTGCGAAAGTTTACTGATCATAGTGGTACCATTGTTAATCCATCCGATGCCACCGAAGGAACATCCGAAGATGCGGTAGCAGTCAAACCAGATGACCTGAAAACATCTGAGGACCTTCTTCAGTTAGTCAAGTGAGCAGCCCGCTACAATTCAGTTATTCTCGCCGTTTGTTTGCCATTTACACGCTTATCGCATTATAACTTGTATTTTTGTGCTCTGCTGTTTTTTCCGTCTATTCCCCAGTCGACGTTGTTTGTTCCTCTCTCTCTTATGTGCTGTTTCCAGCTATTTGTCTTTCCCTTGCACTTTGTTTAGTTTTTCAGGCCAGGATGTGTTGCGTTGACCAGCATTTCCTGCCATTTCGATGTAATGGTTTCGCCCGAAGATGATTTTATCACCGTTGAGATTTAGTAAGAAACAGCGATTTCAAAGCAAACTTTATCAGTACTCTGCCTTGAAAGAAATTGCATTCTCTCGATGTTCATCGCTTGCTACCGACGACCTGTTTAGTTCGACGCCGTGATGATCTTCATGATCATCAGCGGTAGCATCCTTGCTTCACGTCGATACAGCTATACATTGTCGACTGTGGATTGATCACACAGCTTCTTGGACTTGTTGCAGAAATACAGAGGGGTTATTTTCACACCTATGGTCGCTAATTCTGTATCTGCGATGCATTTAGCTTGTTGGATTGTATAATTGCGCTTCAAAAGTTTGTTGATGAACTTAACCACTGATTCCCATGACAGCCAAGCATCATTTCTTAACTTTTATCGTTTCTCAGCTCCCCACTTAGTTGTTTTAGTGTTCGATTGGTGTTTTATAGGGCCAGGTTATGTAACACACAAAATGAGATCTAACTTCCATCCCGCCTGCTTCTATGGCTGTTTTGCATGCTTTTGATTGCCCGGTTGTGCATCTCGATCCACAGTTCCATCATCAGTCCAACGTTCTATTTATTTATACTCTCTAATTCAAAATGCCTAGAGGCATCATGTAAATGCTTCTTGTAGATTTTGTCGGTCTTGTGTTTCCGCTGACAGCACGATTAACTGATACAGCCACTCGGGTCAAATACATCCACTTCCAAAATCAGAAGACCAAGGCCTCTGGCGGAAATTGTATGGAACACCCGGAAGACAGTATGTACAGCCAAAATATGGGGTCCAAATAAATACTTCATGATAGAATGCCCTAATGGAAAGTTCCTGACTATAGCAACTACTAGATGCGCAACAACTCGCTTGTTGGCTTTTCAAGTAGTGCGCTCACTGGAGGACTTCAGGTCAGGTCGTTCTCATTAGTCCGCTTCAAGGTAAAATGACGCCATCGGCCTACTCTTATCGACTATACAATCAGCTTCAGGCGGTTTTCAACGAATCTTCTCCGGGCTGCTACGGACAAGCTCCCTTAACAGATGTTATACCCGAACGACAACGGTTGAGAACCGTACTATTTCACTGTATTTCCGGGTCATCTTATGTTTCCTTCCTCTTCGTTAGATTTGGAGACACAGCAGACATTGCACTAACTCAGTCCTTTGCGTGTGAGTGATTTTTGTAAGATCTTGACGCACGTGCTTGGGTTTACACAGCCAGCTGTGAGATCTGTTTTCACTTTCTCTGCACTTTTTGTATGCATTGTTCTCGCTTTGTCTACTCCGAGGCTCTATCAGCGACTTGTTTGAATGAACCTTTTCATAAATATTGTCAGCTAGATTCTGAGAGGAAGTTTTTGCGTCTTACTCAGAGTCATTTGACATCGCTGTCAGAGGATCTAATCGTCTACTTCACGATTGATAGTTAGGGCCTTCATGTGGCGAAGCGGTGGTCTTCATTTCCGATCGTCTCACTCAGAACCGAAAAACGAGAGATAATCTCTTGTCTTCTTGGATTCAGTCGCGGGCTTGGGCAATGTCATTTTCAGTATTTTCTCCATTAATTCAACAGGCATGGGTCCAATATTTCTGATAAATCTACAACCATTATTGCAGGTAACTTGATAGCGTCGTCGTTCTCACTATTCAACTGAATTCGATAACGCTTCAGGATTGACCATTATCAACAGAGCACTAGCAGATGTTAATGAGTTCTAAGGCAATTAGAAAGACGGTGTTGGAAAAAATCAGCCTCGTATCCGGGGTCGCGAGTTTGTACAGCGGATTAAGGTCTCAGCAATTCGGGGATACACATTTACTTTGGTATGACAGGGTAACAAACACGCAGCTCATCAGAACAACTCTGATATAGGTACATGTCCACATGCAAAGTTGTTTTTTCTGAGATCATAAGCAGATCTCTTTATGTCCATATGGTGTTTATGCTTGCGAAGCGATGTCAAGAGATCTCCTAGCTATCCACTGTAATTCTGCACGGTTATATGGGGCGTGGACGCGAGTGCTTGACCGGTGGGCGCTCGTCATATCGGCCAACCGATTCACGAGCGATCGACGCTTTGGTTGCCTCCAGTTATTGCTTTCGAGGCTGAACTTGACCCGGTTAGTCACGACAGAGCTACTTTTGTACGCGAGATAGGAGTCACGTATTACCGTGGTGGCCGCGTGATGGAAGTCCATAATTGCCAGTTTGACGAACCCAGTGGGTGGTCTACTCGTGATTTATGCAGTCTGACTCCAGATGCTTCTGTCGCTAGTTGAGACCCTATGGTACGGTACTAAGGACTATTTTTATTTTTAACCGGTGATATTGGACACATCGTGTCCATCCACTTGCGTATTTCGAGCTAACGTGCACTTCTTTCAGCTCGCTGCTCTCAAGGTATGCTCTTTCGTGTTCTCGATGCCTGTTATTTTGCATCTGTTAAAATCAACTGCCTTTCCGGAATGTTGATGATATTCTGTACTATTTTGGGTGTTTACGTGTGGGGTTGCTGTTTGTTTTGACCTGTTGCCACCAGTTTGATTCACTTATCTTACAGCTACCTGCGTCGACAAAAAAGCATTGCAGAAGCCACCTGTGATGCTTCATCTGCGGAGGTTTCACGTCTACTTCTACGAGTTTCTAGTCTTGAAAGTCATAGGGATCATCTTCAGCAGGAGCTTGAGAAAGAGCGCAAAGCTAACGAGCTGGCGATGGAGACTACACAGCGTCATTCAGAACTGATGCAGCGAGTAGAGCAGTTGAATTTGGTCACCGAATCGAATCGCCTATTACGCCATGAGCGTGAGACACTTCATTCGAGCTTATGTGCAGTGGAGAAACAGGTTAGCCCCCGATACCTCTAATTATTGCTACGATGCACCATTTGGCCTTACTGCTTTTCTACTCGATCGCTCTGAGCATTTCTGTCTCCAGTCCTTTTCGGTTTCCTATTAATGTGATGTCACACGTTTCCTCCATCATCTGTGTTGCATGAAATTGTACTCGAGATCACTCACAGTTGCACACACACACTGTTTTAGCTGCACGATATTGAAGCTCAGGTGGGTCCTTTGCGTGCGGAGAACAACGAACTCGCAGCTCAATTGGATTCTCTCACCTCTGAACGAGTGTCGCTTGAGGAAGAGCGTGACCGTTGGAAAGAACGATGCAATCGTCTGGTGGAGACAGCTCAGCGCATGGATCCGGAACAATATCGCATGGCATGGTTAGTCAGCAGCTAGGTTTTTTTATTTAATAATGTTTGCTGGTCAGACTGATTGTTCTATCAGTAATTAAAGCGGGTACTTTTCAAAATCAGCATGCAACGGATACTATCTGCTTTTCTTCATGTCTTGCCTTACAAGTTTCAAAACTTTATCTATACTTGACATTTTCCATTGTCTGGTCTAGGTTGACTGTTCTTTTACATTTCATATGTCTCCCTATCATGCTATCTCAATCATCAGATGCGCAGACTGAGTTGACCTTAAATTGCGCTGCTTGGCTTGTTCATTGCGTTTTTACTATCTCCCTTGTTGGCATTTAGCTTTTTTATTAACGCAACAAGAAAACATAGGTTGCGATATGTTAACATTTCGATTGCTCTCGTCAGTCGCTACGCAGTACAGGCAGAACAAAACACGCAATTAATACGGTCCACACTTAGTAACATAGATAAGCAGATAAAATTGATGTGAACGACGTAATCAGGTCCAAGGCACTCTAATTGATTGCCTCAGTTGTTTCTGGGCACAGAGCACTGGACAATTCTACCTTATCAGTAGCGCCTCGCCAATTGCCAACAACGTCGGATTCCTGTTGCGCACTAGCACCTTGAATGAACCTAATGGGTTCGTTCACCTGGTGACGAGTCGTCATTAGGTGTTTGGTGATAGACGAGGCAGGGTTCCGGTTCATTCTTTGCTCCGCTCCGCCTTGGTGAGATAGCAACTGTCGTAGCCACAATGCGAAGTGTTTCGCCACCCTTTGAGCCACCCGGCGACCAGCCTTGCCGATGTAAGTGTCACCGCAACTGCAATTGAACTGCTAGATGATGTTAGGGGCCGAACTGATTGGCGAGGTACTCGGACGGTCGTGGAGAGGAATCCTTCGTGTAGTGTGGATAAGTCGTAGTTGGACGATAGTGTAGGTGCGCATTAGAGCGGATCTGAGGTTGCAACCAACTTCGTTTGCCACATAATCCTCCTTGATTTATACGAGTTACTAGTGAAACTGTGGGAGCAGCAAACTGTCTCTACCGACTGGACCCGCTCCGTCATAGTCCCAATTTTCAAGGGAAGCTCAGGATCGGAATGCGGCAACCATAGAGGAATCAGTCTGATCTCCATCGCCTCCAAATTGCTTGCCTCTGTCATCCTTCACAGACTGACTGGCACTTATGAAAGCCATATTCGGGAAGAGCAAGCCGGGTTTCGTCGAGGTCGTAGCTGCATTGACCACATTTTCACTTTGCATCAGTTGTGGGAGCACCGTCAGATATATTGGCGGCCAACCGTTGTCGTGTTCCTCGATATCAAAGATGCATTCGATTCGGTGGATAGACGTCACTTTGGGACTGTCTACTCAGTAAAGGTGTACTTGAGAAATATGTAAATATTATCCGATCATTATACGCGCGTAGCTCAAACAGAGTGAGGGCTTACGACAAGCTGTCTTTGCCCTTTAATATCTCCAGCGGCGTGAGATAAGGATGCCCGCTGTCCCTTTTCCTCTTCAACTTCGCTATTGATGAAGTCATGGAAATCACGTTTACAGGACACGACTTGGAAGCTGTGGATCTGCTCCCAGGAGAACGACTTCTTGACTTAGAGTATGCTGACGGTATTGCCCTAATCTGTGACAGCTCCCAGACGTGCCAAGCGGCACTGGACAGATTAGCACTGACTCTCAACCGCTTCGGACTTTGCTTTGCACCATCGAAGTGCAAAGCGTTCCTCCAAGATTGGCCTGGACTGCCTCCTGCGCTGACCCTTGGTGGGGATTAGCTAGAAGACCTTCAAAAATTCAATTACCTGGGAAGTTGTATCAGCGCCTTTGGGATTGAAGATGAAATCACGAACCGTATAGCAAAAGCTCGTGGCGCTTTTGCTAACCTTCGCCACTTATGGCGTTGGCGCGACATCACTCTCGCCCTGAAGGGTAGAGTGTACAATGCAGCGGTACGTTCGACCCTACTGTGCGGTTGTGAAACCTGGCCCCTTAGATCAGCGGACATAACGAGGCTAGCTAGGTTCGACCGCCAGTGCCTTCGCAGTTTGGCTCACATCTGGTGGTAACACCGCGTGAGCAACGAGCGTGTTCGACGTCTTGTTTATGGCACCGGAAAAGGAAATCAACCGTTCAGCACCGTTATTTCACGCACCAGGTTTCGAAGGGTTGGCCACGTGTTACGCATGCTATCCCACCGACTCCCGCGACGTGCGTTGTTTGCGCGCCGGGGGTGTGGATGGCAGTAGAGGAGAGGTGACCAATCGATGACTTGGTCGAGAGGAATGAAGGCCCTCACTTCGAAGCTAACCTCGGTTGGAGTGTCTCGGCTCCCTGGTTGGAGTCCGAATGACGCTGAGCACGTTTGGCTGGATACACTTGTTGATATGGCTAGGAGCCGAGCTCAGTGGCGTTTGTGCTGTAAGTTTCTTTGTCCCACCCCATCTTTTTTAGTCTACCCCTCCAACCGCTATCATTATTTAGCAGCTTATAATTTTGCATAGTGAATTAGATTTATTTCTGCTGCATACTAGCCGACAGGTAACTTTCCGGAACGATGCCCATCCGTTACAGGTAGCTCAGCTGGCTTGCACCTGTAGCATTTTGCTCCCTTCGTTTCTTTTAGGTATTGCGGCACAGTAGCTGTGGTGTTTCCCACCTCGAGCTATCATGTGTAGTGTGTATATGTGTGTAGTGATCCCCCTTGAACGGCAAAAACAAATAAACATCTTTCTTCTACGCTGTTTGTACTGGCAGCTTCTCTTTGTTGGGTCTGCTATGGGTCTGAATGAATTTCTCCGGATACCCATTGGATAGCAGAGTCCAGTATAAAAACTTCTTCAGACTGCAAATCCGCCTGGCCCTGTTGAAGAGCCTTTTTACGAGGCCGCGCTTATGTGCAACTAGGACGAAGCTGGAAAAATGTAGGTATTGTCCCCCCCTCCCAGGTCGCTTTTCTGTACACAGTGAGCCGTGTACAGAACTGGAGTCAGTGTTTCACATTTAGCTTTCTGTGTGCAGTATTTCCAGTAGTTCATGTGCTTCTTTCGCCCCAATCGCTGATCGATTCGGTAATGCAATGTAGAACTTTGTCAACTCACCAATGCATCATGGCGTAATCCGATCACAGCATAGGAACAATGATTTGTTTCTACATTACAATTATTTGCGTCTTGATTACCAGCACTTTGTCACCTTTCGTTACATTTCTTACGCTCCTCTAATGCACGCAGCAATGAACGAGATGAACTTCAGCGGAAGTTGCGCCGGGCCGAAGACGAATTGCAGCAATCAGCTGTCAAGTTAGCAGAACTGCGCTCAGACATGGACGAACGAACACGCAGATATCACTCCGAGTTGGAGGAGGCACGGGCTTCTCAACTTGCTGCTGAACAAGCGTGCGAGGAACGCAGGTTCGCCTTCCGTCTTTCTACTTTTAGTTTGTAAACCTTTCTCATTTGATCACGACCACTTGCGTCACCTCAACCTTTCGCTTTGTTTTAGGGCGTCCTGTGACCAACTACGACAAGAGTTAGAAGCTAAGGAAACAACTGTTGTCAAACTACGCGAGATTGCTCGTAGATATCGCCAAGAGACAGAAACTCTTCGTCGTCAGCTGTCTGCAAATCGCTCAGATGGTGAGTAAATCATTGTTTCCGCGTGTTTACTCCCATTTTGCCCAACTATCTGTTTTTGTCTATATATAGCGCTAAATCGGTTTTCTGTATTAAGGCTAGGCTCAAGGCCTGGTAGGCTACGTCTTTGCTAGTTGCTGGTAGCGGATATTGTCATGAAAAGCGTCAGCAGTGCATTGTAATCCCGTAACGACGAATCGCTGCCTCTCAACCATCAGTGGTGTTAGTGGGCTTTCATCTTAACCAGTTTCGATCGGTAACTTGTGGATTACAGGCTGAATACTTGTGATCCTCAACTGTTTACATCAATGCTGTTGTTGTGCCGCCTTCACCATAAATAACTGCGCTCCTCTGGATATCAAGTCTTTGATCGGTAATTCTGTGACAACCGAATACTGTGTCTTTTGCGCAACAAAAGCACTGCGTGCGCAACCCCCTTGAAATCCGATTTAAAACACTATCCAGGTATTTGCCAGTACGCCAAATGTTTCTCGTGTTCTTTACTGAAACTTTACTACTATTTGTGCATATCTCTCCTCCCATGACTGTGGATGACCAAATCATGCCTCGCACATCTATCGTAAAATATCTACAGTTTTTCTATCGCATTTTATCTTGATCTACACATGTTCTTGAAACATTTAAAAAAGTTAAGCCATCTTTTTACGCTCCCGTTTCTCGTGCTTTAATTCTACAGTTTGTGACTGCATGTATTCTCCCTCACTGGTTATTCCCCGGTTGTTTTCCCAGGACTGCTCTAAAAATATTATGTCCTTCTTGTCCGTTCGTTAAAATTTCTCGTTGCTCCGGTTTAGGGAAAGGAACGCTCATAGATTGCATTGTTAACAAACATTTCGCTGCATGCATCAACTTTTCATCCAAAATTTTTAATGACTCCTCACACCCTTTACACGATATCTTAGCCAGCACTGTATCTACTTCGTGCACACGGACAACATTTAAAGTTTTATATTCTCGTACCTCGTCGTATCGAAACTCTTTCTAGCCTTTTTTAATCACGCTTACTAATAGACGCAACAGGAGTGAAAGCCCGTTTTCGTGACCACATGCTTGAATGAAGATGCAGATTTTCATTTGCCAGTATTAATTGTTGTTTCTCAGTGTAGAAATCCGCAGTCTGAGTGTGAAAATGCACTTATACGGGTAGATAAATCTTACTTTACCTTGACTCGGAATCACGAATTTACGATGCCATAGCCATCAGGAGTGTTCTTAGAATCGAGAGCTCCCTTAGATATGTGGGAAATTCTAGACGTGAGCTTGTGTCCGATATCATTTGCAACATGATCCCTCTTGAACAGCAAGAACATTTGAACCTTCTTTTCCTCAACCATTAGCACCGGTATTCTCTTTTTATCAAGCATGCTGTAGATTTTATAGAACTTCTCAGGATAGCAGCTTGATATTAAGTTCATCTGCGGAAATTATATTTCAGCTTTCCACACATTGGGGCTGCAAATCCGTCTGGCCGTATAGAACAAGGTTTTCAATAGGCCGCATTGTATACGGGCGGGTTGAAGCTGGAAAAGTGAAGCTAATGCCCTCTTTAGGTCACCCTGCAGTGAACGGAGAACGCTACAGTGTGCTTCTTGCGGACTACCAGTTTATGAAACACCGATAAATTGGGCTGAATCGAATTCAGAATGGTAGACAGCCGCGTAAAGTGTTCACTGTTGCTGAAGATTAGAATGTCATCCAATTACTGTCTGTACAACCTCGTTTCATCAGTGCTTGCAGCGACTTGTCAACCTGAAGATGTATTCTTTCTGCTCTGGTGAAATGGCTGAAAGTAAATCACTGTTTTCTGTTTCTAAAAAGAGACTTCTCACTATTATTGAGAGAACATTGGACCTATTGTTGTCACTGTCCTGCAAGTTAACTGTGGAACACACTCGGGTAAAATTTTTTGAAGGATGTATCTGCTCATTTTGTTTTTTGCCGTGATATGCGTAAGCAATACGTCGGTGCGCCGCACCAATGCTTTGTTGCTGCTCGGCCACCTGCATTAGCGTGCGAGCTAAGGATACAGAGAGGTTGCCCGCAGTTGAGATTTGTCCATAAGAGTACGAAACGAACGCCGTCAATTATTTTCAGAATAAAATAACCACGTGTTCTTTTGCTACGGCACTATCGCTTGACCGTGTTCTGGCGTTGCAACCTCACGTCGTTATGCAGTCTACTGCCCCTCTCACTCACAACTGGGCTGCCTGACGCTAGACAGATTCTTCACCAATCCTTACAACCGACTCCTTAGGGTGATTTCAGACAGTTTTCTGTCGTCCTATCAACTGCTCTGCTTACTGCTTGAATAACGTGGCTCTCCGTATAGTGTTATTTGCTTACATAACGCACTGTTACCTCGGCATGTGTTCACACCATGTCCATGGAACATATAACCGAGCAGATGATATGGCTAGCTTATGAAGTACCTGAATGTAAAACTAACTCTGGTTGCTGTTCCCCGGCTTTTCATTTGTTGGTCTTATCGCCGGTCCGATTGTGTGTTAGATACTATATCCAACTCTTCGTAGAATAGCTATCAAATATCCCATTTTTTCGATTGTGGGTTTTCTGTCTGACGACTACAGCTTTCACTTTCGCTTTTCTGCTTACCGTTCGTTTGTTTCCAATTATTGTTTGATGTTAATGTTTGTTCTCGTGTGACTGCTGTTACTTTCAGTGTAAACTCTCCGCTTTGACTGTGTGGTCATATTTATTTGACTTAATGCGACGCTTTGTTAACTTTATTGTTTGATCTTAGCTTTTCTGTCCGGCATGTCTTGCAGTCTTTTCATAACCTTGCTTTTTTCCAGGTGCTCAGTTGCACGCGATGAGTGAGGCTCTCACGGAGGTCAGGGCTGATCTAGTCACTACGCGGTCGGACCTGGCCGCTGTACGATCTCAGTATTCTCAGTTATTCTCTTGTGCCGACGAAGCGTTGCAAATGGTGGAGAGCCTAAAGGTAAAAGGTCCAAGCGATACATGACTCGATTTCTCTTCTCAAATACTTCAATTTTCCACGGTGCTTTGCTTACTTTAATATTTCTTACTTAGGTTCACGCGGGCCCCGTTAGTTTTTTGTTGTCGTTTCTCAGCTTGCACTGCATTCAGCATCCTGTCTGCAGGGGCCGTTGCTACTTTGCATCTGCTTTGCACCTCAGAATTTCAGAACACTGTTGCTGTATTGGGCCATCAGACCACCGGTTCTCACCATCACCTCTTTCAAATGGTCAGTTGATGATCGGCTTATGTAGGTGGCTGCATCGCTCTGGTTCGTACCCTCACTGAATATGTTGCTACCCACATCAGTAATTCTCATGTGGCTTTTCAAACCGCACTTAATTACGGAGGCCACGGGATCCAAACTTACTTGTCCAGGTTAGCGTGTATATCGCTACGAATGTATCACACGGACCTACGTTTCGTTACCCAATGTGTCTCGCGTGTTTTACGCACGTGTTGCTTCCACCATGGGTGGGGTTCATCGGCTAGGGCCTGACAAATTTCGCAGGCAACTGCAACACTTCGTCGCGTCGTGAATTTGTGTGTCGGATCTCATCCGATCACCCTAGGTTAAGGTTTTATGACACGGCCCCTGTGAGAGCACCTACTGGCCAAGTTTAATAATCACCGCTTCTTATGTGTTACTAACTTCCAGAACAAAAAAAACTAAAGTGTAGCATCTAAACTATTCAGTCCCGCTCTCTTCGCTTCTTGAAAACGTCAGCTTCTTTTGGTGTAAAGGTAATTGGACTGATAGCGTAGCGAAAATTCAGGGTTGATTGAATACCATAACTTCTGTCTCGAAGCAACATCATGCGTACTTCTCAAAGTATTCATCTCTGCGTCTGCCACCTACCTCTCCGTATGCTACCTACCTATACTGTTTTCCGCTTTGTGATGACCTTGAGTGGCCAGTTGACAACATTGGAAATCAATAGATGCTGGAAGATTTAGCGGTGCTATTCTGCGCCTCGAGCTTGATTGCATCACATTTTTGCGACCGCACCTGACGTTTCTTCGTTGAGAACTCAGTGGAGTCCTTTTATCTTGCCGCCTATCATTGTCGTTTTTCTATCATATTATTTAAATTACCTTTTCAAACTCCCCTGGCCGTTTTTTCATTTTCTCTCCATTCTCTCTTATGGTCGATTTTCGTTTTTTTTACCAACATTTATCAGGGCACTTTGCTGTACTTGGGTATATACACGGGAATGCCTTACGAATGCGGCCGAACAAACGGATAAGCTACTTGGCGCTTTACAATATTAGTTGAGTAGGAGGATTTTAGATTAACTTTAACGAGTTTCGTCCCAGCAGCTCCCAAGTACGACAATTTTAACACCAGTCTGGTGAGATACCAGACAATCGTTTCGCCCTTTTGGGACTCGTCAGTGGTCCGCAGTCCCTCTGCCTCCTACAGGAAACCGAACCCGTGAATGCTAGCATCTCGTGCCAACTAGCCAGCAGTCTATGCCACGGAGTTACGCAGGGCGGTGACAAATCGTCAACCTGCAGGCAAGGTACCGAGCGAATGTGCACCACTGACGAGCCCCAGTTGGGCGAAACGATCATGGTTAGATTATCGCGCTTGTAAGCTACTGTAACAAACCAGTCAAGCTTAGAGTAATAGCCTGCAGTTTATTGGACTAGATTGAACTTTACACTCGGAATTCGCACGGTGTGTGGTAGGTTACATTTTGTGAATCCGTATCTACGATCAGTGCGTTCCTTTTGGAATTGCTGGATTTTCGAACGATCAAGTCATAAGCTACAATTCATGGCTCATTAATCGTTCCGACTTACACTGCGTTCCCTGGGCTGCTAACGATCACTTAGTTTATTGAAATTCTCGGTATGGAAGGAATTTCTCCATCGTGTGAAGCATATTTTAGTCTAATGTTTTTTTTTGCATGGGTCACCGTCCATTCGGAAACTACTTCGGCCAAAATATGACAACTTCAATTGTATTGACACAACATTCTCTACCATACTACCTGCTCACTTGATGGACCTTATGCTTAGGCCCAATTCGCACTTAAATTACTTCTGCATAGATTAAGTTTCGTACGCTGATAGGAAAACAGTATTTCGAAGCTCAAATTAACGTTTCCTGCAATAGATTTTCACTTTTTCTTGTATATAGATCTGTTGAGTCAGGGCTGACACCACACGAGCCACGTAGATTTTCGCTCCAACCGGTTTTTCTCTGTGGAAACCGTACGGTTGTGGGTGGACAGTTCCTCTTCGCTATCTTTTGACTCCGAAGGATAAATTGGCTATGTAAATGTAAGGTTACTAAGGTCGTACACCTATATATAGGAATTCAGTCTAGGACACCAGTGTTGGACATCTTGTACATAGAGGTTTCTTTCGCAATGGAATTTGTCGTTGCCTACTGTGGCAATTTTCTCACAGTCAGATTTGTACAATAGATCTAGAAAAATCCAGTCCTATGCTCATTTCCTTATCGCGGAGCACCTTCTCACTTCATCCGTACACCAACCGAAATTTTCCATTCTTCTTTGGTCACACTGATGTCTGCACTCGACTCGGGTATTAAGTTAACTAAGCCTGTTAGTTGGGATGCCTCTCTATCTTCCATCACCCGGTCAATTCAATCCCATTGTCTCCAGCATATAATTTCAACCTCAGTGTCCGAAGATTTTTCACAAGTAAACGATACTTCAGGGAATTACCCACGGTTATTGCCCCGTTTTGTCCTGAGTTCACATGCAATGTTCAGCAGTTTAAATTATGTCGTTTCTTCATCTCGACTATCTTCATGTTCCCAGCTACTTTCACGTGACTCTCCTCATTCATTTACTCATCTGTTACTTACTTGCTCATGTAGTCCAATCCAGTCTTCGGTTCGCTACTGACGTCCATCCACACCACAATACCTGAAGCATCTGATCAGACAAGCGCGACCAGTGGCCAACATTTCTTGGATGCTCTCAGGCTTGTTTTTTCTGTTCTGACATCCGAATTCGAACGGTTGCATCAGCAAGCGGAGGAGCAGAGGGAGCGCATTTTACGCATGCAGTTGGTTGAATCGCAACTCACCAAATGTCAACGGGATTGTGCTCAGTTGCGCGTTCGTTTATCGGAACTCCACGCCACCCCTACTAGTTTATTCCAGCCGGTAGCGATTGTCTCTTCTTGCACATCCTCTGTTATGGTAAGTTTGGTATTCAGTCCGAATTGTTTCATCTCCATGTACAAATACCACTCGTGCTACTAAATTATTCTCTTCGTTACAGTTTTCTTGCTTTTCTGTATTTCGCCTCCGGATTATCTGCATGATTTGAATTTATCCATCTTTCCTTCCTAGCAACACGCTCTATTTACACTGTTTAGTAGGCAACACCGCCTTTTTACCCTTCTTTCGCTGCCTTCCATCAGTTTAATTCTTAGAGCGTGTTCACTTTTCGCTTTAACAAATTTTGTACCTCACAAACTCGATACTTCCACTTATGTGAAGTGATAACTGTATCACTGAACCAGATTTCCTATCGAGACCTTCGCAAAACGTCTGATCCTTTTCGCTCGCTTCCATCCTTTGGCTGGCCTGTAGCTGAAATATAGCACGTAGTCCTTGCGGGGCTGAACGACACCTTATTCTCCTAACCGCCAGCTGTTTTTCTTACTTGCACTAGAACAGCAAAAGTCTTCAACGTTGATTGCCCGCCCGTAACCTAGAGGTAACAAGCTTCTCTTGTAACTTGACGGCTTAGGTTCGAGGATGCGTAAGGGCAGGGCCACCCTCGCAGTATCCTTAGCGGCTGCTGGTGCTTGCGCGTCAACGAAGAGTCGGGACTGCGTACTGGCCTACTGCTGTTGCAACATGCGCGGGTTTTGGAGCACCCGCTGCGTGTCTTGGATTGTGACGCACAGTCTCAATTGTGGCTTCGGTTTACTTCGAAGTCAGCATCTGCCATTCCGATCACTAGGATCACATTTGAATTGGTAGGTATCGGTGTTGCTCTCTCTCATCCCTGCACTCCACGATGCGTTTCGTCCTTGTTTGGGCTGATCAGATAGTGATGGCCTTATCTTGAAGTAGAACCTGTCGTATTGATCTTTCTTGATGGCTGACACAGGATACTAGGATACACTCGGTTTGTAACATGGTCTTAAGTACATGTGGAAGAAAACGTACTGTGTATTCACTTGTTTTCCTCCTCCACACGGTCTTTCAACTCTGATTGAGAGTTACTTCATAGATGTCAATTCACATTCTTACCGCACACTTATCACTGCCGCAACCAACGGCTATATTTTATGCATCTCCTTTTTTCTACTCACTACCCTCTCATCCATGTTCCACATATTGTTTTCCCTCATCCTGTGCCTTTTCCATTCGGAATACCAACATCTTTTCATTAACTTGGTTTTTTGATTTAATTGCAGTCTTTGTTAGCTACTCATATTTTAGTTAGCCTATTTTCCTTCCCTCTATTTGCACTTTTCACTGGATCCATCCAACACCTTAAGTCTGTTACTCTTGTCCTACTTGCCAGGAGAGACTTGTTGCTAGATTGCGTACACTACATTGATTGGTTCCCACTTTATTGAGCACACTGATTTTTTCCTTAGTTTCTGTATTACCTCTCATTGCCTTTTGCAGCGGACGGATTCAGAGTCTAGCGAAGTCGTAAAACCCACACAATCGTTCCAGATGCGTCCGATGCTATTTGCCTCCACAACCGGCGCTTCCGACTTCTCCGCATCTGGTCCGAACGACTCCCTGTTTTCCACACCTAATCTTGGCACGGACAGTTGCGCTGTATCTAGTTCCAATTCCCTTGCTACACAATCCATCCCGGCTTGGATACTACGAGCAGCTGCCACTGTTCAACCGGTGCAACCAACTCCTGCCGTTACCCCACCGAATTCATCCGTTGGACCAAAACAGACTGCCGAAATCCGACCGATCACCAGTAATATAGCCACTGTGGTGCCTACGCCGGCTCTGCAGATAGGTGAGCCCCACATCGCGGCATTCTGTCCGAATTTCTAATTAGTTTATCTCTTAGCTTTGTCTTTCTGGATGTTCCGAAGCCAGTTTGGTCAAAGTTCCATCCACGTCTCAGGGTTTCCAAGTCTTAGAATCAGAAGTTCGGTGCGACACCATCTGTTCCATTTTCCTCACTGGCCGCGTGATCTTGTTCCATCCCACTAGCCCGCGCACCCACACAACCTGGTCATCCTGTAACATTGTATGTTAATACTCATTGAATCTTGAAAACTTGTTGAAAGTTCCCATTGCTCGAGACAAAATAAATATGAGCGCTTGGGAAATTAACAAACCAAGAGAACGGAAGAAAGGTACCAATTGTACGACAGTACTCGATCAGTGCTATTTTCGTTAACGCGCTCCCCACTCCATGCAGCAGCAGTGTCCTTGATTGATGAGCGAGGTTGAAATCTTACGTAAGTTAGGTGCAGACATTTAGGAGAATTACGTATGACATTCAAACTCAAAATACTTTTATATTGTCGGGGTCCAGACAAAGGGCAACTTGAGGACCAAATGCAAAGCACTACTGCTTTCCACATATGCAACGCGGGCAATTCACTATCCCGCATCTAACCTGTACAACCAGCGGGCCTGGTTTAACTGACGGTTAACACCTACACACAGGCCCTTTTTTCAAGCTATTGGTCGTGTAAACTTGCGTTCGAATTCAATGGCCACGACTCCAACTTATAGTTATTCTACCTGTAGATTCCGGGTGGTGCTCTCGTTACAACCAACGTTCTCGTTTACGTGAACCACTACGTATGTATATTTATAGTGCCCAAGAATCATGCGACTAGTCGCGCCCACACAGATTCTTGCACGCTTGGACATACTATTCGCATATTCAGCGTGCGAAATACTGCGCACGACATTCTCAGCTCATTTTGGCTATTCTTAGCAGTTAGGCGTCTTATATCTGTGGAGTGGAGTGGATCACTGCGCGCTTTCGTAGGCCACAGTGGCTTCTCAAGATTACATTCACTTATGAGGACAGTGAAATTTCGGAGATGAAGAAACTACGCTGTGACGAATATCATTATATGGATCGGAGTATGACCACTGCGCCTTCCTCGGAGTACATAACACTGAAGTTAATCCACTGTTTTTGACAACTGTGTTTTCCGGTTCGTCTTCACTTGTACCTATCAATTAGAAGATTGATATTTCCTCGTTGGTTTTTGTGATTTACAGTTCAGACAACTTCTGTCCCATCTCCGGTGGATTCAATGACGACCCCCTCGATCCCAGTGTCTCATACCAGCTCGGAGCCGGCTTCTTCGACTTCTGGTCCTTCAGTCACTGGGTTTCAACTTGGGGAACAATCTACCTCACGACCTGAACCAGCATCAGGTACTACCTCAAGTTTGTGAAACATATTTTGAAGTTAGAGACGATAGGGTATGTGATGTGTCCTCACACCCCCTATTACGTTTATTCATATAAATCGTATTCACTAGGCGTAGTGATTCTCGTTCCGAGTTGTGACCCAGTCTGCTTTCGCCTCTTAATCTATACCTTTTGTATCTTCGAGTATCCCACTAGTCGACACCAGTTAACATCTGCGTCATGGAAACCATGAGTAGTAAGTGGGAATCTGCCAGGCCCATTCTACCTTTCTTATCATGCACATTGTCGGAACGAAGCATGAGAGTCATGCGAATTTACTGCAATATTGTCGATTGCCTCCTTTTCAAGCGTTTGTTCCAATCCTACTTGGTATGTATTCACTTTCCTTAACATTGAGCGTTCACTACGTTCGTGCGTGGGCACTCTATCGGTGAGTGTGGGTGGCAGATTAGGCGATCGAATTTCATTGGCTCTAAAGCGCTACAGTGACATATTGCCCCAATTTTTGGGTGCATTGTAAACTAGCCCTTTGTCCATGTGTGATAGATGTTTTTTTTACTTCGAGTGCCACTCGATACTCGTCATTGTGCCAACATTTATATCCGTATATATATATACATATATATATATATATATATATATATATATATATATGCAGGTGTGTGTGAAACCATAAACGGAAAAATTATTTGAGTAGCCCGGTGCACTATCACTATAAACGTCGTCCCAGTCGTTCGACGCCTAAATGCATGTTTTACTGGTAATCGTCATCAACAGCATTGCATCAGCCATCTGAACTGATGCTTCCTTGCGGTACATCCGCGGTGACCTACGGAACGACAATTAATAAGTGGGAGAGAAGGGGGACTTAGCGTAAAACCTTAATTCCCTAAACAATCTTGCTGCAAAGATACGACGGCATCAGTGAGATAGCTTCCTTATAGCTTTCACTTTCCCACGTCACAATCAGCCATTACCCCGCAGATAAATTGGCACCAAATGCACAAAACAGGCAGTCCGACTAGGAGACGGCAGCAGACGCGCCACTGGTGTTGGTTGCGAGCTATGTCCTGTAAAGTCTCGAGCTAAGCACACGGCGCGTTACGTGGACTCCCGTCTAGAAGGCGAGACGGACCAACAGCACCCAGTTTAGTCGTCATTAACTGCATTTTCCCTTGCCTAGTTAATTTTTATCCACCTTGAACCTTACACCACCTTACATCTGCAAAACAAAACACTCCTCGGTAAGTGGTGACCGGGCATACGTAGCACGTACGCAAGCCAACTCAACTCAATCAGTGCTATCTGTTAGTCTAAGGAACTCGCCTGATTATCACTGCCTAGTACTCGCCTACGCACACCATCGCTGTGGATATGCTGGTGCCATGCGATATCAGCAATGCTCCGCAGACAATGGTGATCGAAGACTTGAAGCGCCTCAGATCAGCAAACCGAAGGGGCCAAATTTCACTACTATAGGATAGGACGGCCCTAACTGTGGTTTTGTAAACATGGCATTTCAGACGGAGGAAAACCCCTTTCTGATGCCTAAGATGTCGCAGATTCAAAAGGCAGTTCTAGCTTTCGTAATGCGTGAACTGACTTCAGTGCGTTTGTGCACATCATTACCGATGCAACTACCACGGTAAGTGAATTGATCAACTACCTCGATTTCCACACTGCCAAAGGTTAAGGGATCATCAAGTGGCTAGTGGTCCTGTAAAAACACAGCACCTTTAAGATCCGAAGCGCATTCCCAATGATGGAGCCACTGTAAAGAGGTTAATCAGGGTTGACTGAGCGGTCCCGCCATCGTTAAGCATAATCATCATCGCACAATCATGATCAACTAACTTATCATCAGGCAGTACTTCAACACCTGCATCGTGGAGCTCCGCAAGTTAGCACTCCACGATGGAGTCCGTGACGAAGTTGATCAAAGGTAGGGAAATTAGGCAACCCTGACGAACGCTCTTGTTGACGGAAAGATATCCGATAAGTCACCATTAACCCTGACGCGGCCACTCGTGTTCGAGTACAAGGCATGTAAAATGTTCACATATTTCAGGGGAACACCCTTCCACACAAGAATCTCGAACAGAATGGATCGATTAACTGAATCGAACGCACTCTTGAAGTTCAGGAACACAGCTATTATCGGCCTGCATTACGTGTGGTGCTGTTCTAGCACCTGTTGCAGGGTGGATATGTGGCTCATACAATGCCGTCCTGGCCAGGAGCCTGCCTGCTCTTCTCTGATGCGAGATTCCTTTTGCGCACTGAGGCGACGAACGAGAATTGAGGCCAGCGATTTCTCTCACAACTGGCGTTATGCTAATGCCCCTGTGGTTAGCACAGTCGGTGTGATTGCTCTTCACGTATATTGCCACAATAATCGATTGACTCCAGTTAGTTGGGGTGGTCTCTTCCTTCTAGACTTGTTTGAACAGGGAGGTCACTACTTTACAGAGGACTTCACCTCCATCCTTAAATAATGCAGGTAGGAGGAAATCCGGGTCAGCAGCATGAAAACGATTGAGGGCTGTGATCGCGTTTCGTACCTCAGCCTCCGATGGAGGCTCTAGGCTAACCGGTCATGGCTCAACCTGCAACATCTGCGTAGAAAGATGTCCAGAACCAAGGGGACAACCAAATCTTTCTCAAAAGTGCTCCGCCTAACGAACCAAACGACACTCCTTATTGTGAATTATGGCACCTTCGCTGTCTCTGATTGTCTAACTGACGCCTTGTTTTCTGGGACCAGTGTTGCGAATCAGCTGGAAGAGCTTGCGATAATTGCTTGTGTGAATTACAATTCACGAAGCTGAATGACATTACTGACAATTTATAAGTAGCTCACTTTTCTTTAACATTTTATAGCGCCACGACCTTCATCTTGGGACAATTTGCACCGACTGATTTTGGGTTGTAACCGATAATTATCCGAACGAACTGACATTCGCGTTAATTCATGTTTATATTTTTGTTTCTATAGCATTTCCGCCCTTTAACCATAACCTGAGCCTAAATATCCAGTCCTTTGTTTTACTGCGCTGCGTTTACTGAGCCTCCATTACTGCCGCTGTTCGAACTTAACTGGATTTATTTACACCTGTTTGCGAGTCTATTCACCTATTCGTAAGTCACCTCTGTATCTTTGAATCTAAATGCTTGTAGAACCACGGTTCATTCAGTACAACTTATTCCACTCACCACCCTCGTATTTTACTGCCCAGACCGTGCGTACGTTTGTCAATCGTAGGTTTGTCAATCGGCAGTATCGGTCCTAGCTACAGCCTGCTGTTCCCGTCTCCTCCATCTTTTGAGCTCTACTAGTCTATCAGGCTTCCTTGTCAGCACACAGTCTCCGGTTTAGTTCGCGCCTAACAATCCGTCTGGTAAAATTACTCTCAGAGCCAGCAGGGAGATACCTCTGGATTCCAAGGGGTTCACGACCTCTCGGATATCCAATGACAGATGCGGTGACGATTGATAGTGCCGCAAGCGGAGATTTCTGCATGTAGCATGGCGACGAAGATCCTATTCCAATGAGGCTCAAAGTCGATAGGACAAGACAGCGGGAGTTCAGTACGCGGTGCATCCAAGTAGGCCTGCCTGACCGAAGATCGAAATAACTTCCCAGTTGCTAATTGATGGAAACACCTCCTGGTTAAGTTCATGGAAAAACGACAGCGTACCAAGGCATGATCAGGGCGGACGCAAGTGTTCCAAAACGATCAACAATCCAGGATGGAACCATGCCACCTGTAACTTATGGTGACGTGTTCTATTTAGGCACACCGCTGGCCAGCTATAGGAGGACGCCAAGTGGCACTTCGGCGCCCACTCTGTCTGAATGCGGTGCCATTAAGAAACAGTTAGTTCTCCTCACACAGTTGCAACAGACGCTAGCTTTTGTCCGTCCGGTCGGAGCTAAGTCCATACTTACCACCTAGCTGGACTTCTTGAGAGCTCAGGCGTCCTACTTGTGCATTCATATCCCCTGCAACAACAACGATATGTGAACTGGTAACACTGAATATCAGCGTGTTCAATTCGTTCTAGCTGTCCTTGGCGGCATCAGGACTACAGTCTGTGTTCATGTGAGTGGAAACTATCAACAAGCAGCGTCTAGTACTACCTCGTGAATCAACCTTGGTTGATGTTGTCAAACGGGTTGCACACAAACGGCTGCTCACGGGAATGCAATCAAGCAACGGTGACTTAGGCTTGGGGCTAAGAACGACGCCTACCCTAGCTTGACTAGTGGTTGACACATCAGCGTCTCCGGATGCGTGTAAACAGTAGCAAGATGACAAATCGAGCGTAGTTAGTTAGTTAGGGTCATTTCTCCTAGTTTCGGGCACACAACGCGTATCATACCCAGCGTGTCCAAAGTGCGTGCGAGTGCAGTCTGTTACCCCATTTTTTATCTTAAAGTGTGAACAGTGAACGACGCCTTGGACACGGAACAGCATGGCGTTATAAGGGGCTTTTGCCGATAGACGTCCAGTGGATGGTAGTTGCAGCTGGCATTACCTCGGTGTCATTACGGCTTCTATCATTTAAACCGGGAATGGTAGAAGGGAAGTTAGTAATGAGAATTGAGAGGGTAATAAGATAAACAGGTGGAAAAGGAAGGAGGCACCAGCGATAGCATTTTTTCACTTATCCGCCCTGATGTATGCAACATATAAGGCGACCCTTGATGACCTGAGCGACGGGCGGTGCATGGTGTGGTTTGAGTTTGTAGCAATTGTCATGGTTTGTTGGTGATACTGTGTTGCTCCTCCGGTGCCTCATGGGCGACTTATGACCTCCATCAGGTCTCCCTTTCCGTGGGGTTGTATATGTTCCATCGCATTGATTTGCACCTCTATCATGTCCTTGGTCCGCCTTGTGTTACATTCCAACAAGCTATGAACTCAGCCGAGGTCACTCGTCGTTTCTACTTTGTGCCACGAACGTCTACCCCTGCGCACTAACAAATTGCTTGTCCCCTT